CTGCACACCTCCCCTGCCATGCCTTTCCATTGCCCACTCATGAGCACTCAGCTACTTGTGCTCCCAGTTGCATGTGCTGCGGAGCGCAGTTGCAGAAAGGGTGTGCAGGTGACTGAGTGCCGGCAGTGGGAGAGCTCACAAGCAGATGGGTAAAAGATGTGTAGGCAGCAGGTGCAGGGAAATGTGGGTGGGTGGCAGGACTGCCAAATGCCTGTTAGAAATGGGGGATCCCTTCTAGTGCTCTGTGGTGTGGTTGGGGGTCAAATGGGTGGGAAACGTGTCGCGCAACACCATGTTGTCATTTCCAGGTAGCAACCCAGAAGTGACATCTTTTACCAAAGAGTTTATGAAAATCCTAGCGCGTACCTGGAAGTCATATTGCACAACACTATTTTATCAGGCCCCCCCCCCCAATCTCGTGCCAGGCAATCCTAGTGGCCAGGCTAGAAAGGAGGTGGGAGCAGGGGGCCTAGTGGCAGGCAGGGGAGGGGAGGGGAGGTGGGCTGCTGGACACTCTCTGCTGGCCTCTCAGAACCTGGAAGTGACTCTTCTGCCTGTGTATGAACCTTTCCTGCCCTCACTGAGGAACAATTCACACTGCCACCAATTTGGAAATAGAACTGTGGTTAGGGTCCTTTTTAGAAAGGAAATAGGGTTGTTAATTTTAACTGTCTGTGAACACTTCAGGCATTGAGAAATCCAGTTTATTAGATATGTTCTACTGTTTTTGTTTTATAGTTCTCTAATCATTTCCGTTTTATGGACTGGTTTGTTGGAAGTATTATACTGGTCTTGATTGTATTGTTTTCTGATTCTGTAATCCACCTCGAGTCTCAAGGAGAAAGGCAGACAATAAATGAAGCAAATGAGCATTAATTACCGTCAGCCCGGGTATACTTTCCACTGCTTGTATGGTGATATAGATGCATGGGAGTACTTTTACAGTAAAAAAGAAAAAAGGACAAAGTTTCTCCAAATCCATACTGCAGATGCTAATATATATGCCACCTCATGAACGTGGTGGAGGCATATGCACATGCATATGTGTAGCGCCGGAGACCGATAAAACAGCATTTCTAGATTGGGAATATTATGAACTGGTTCCCAACAGATAAAGAGTTTGGGTTGCTCAGGCTCTGGATTTTTCACTCCTGACGGAAAGGTGTAATGCTTCTGTGAATCCGCTGCCTCCTCGCCTTCCCCGTGTGAACTTTGTTGTCAGTATTTTCCATACGTAACGCGGAGCGTCTCACCTTTCCCAGCTTCTGGGTATTGTTTTTTGTAGCGAGGAGTGAGGAGGAGGGGACTAGAGGCGGGTCTGCGTCAATGTTTTCTGCTAGCCGTTGGCTTGCGGGGATTTTGGGCGGGAATAACGTCCCCAAAGGCCGTCTCTGCAGTTCCTTGTGCCATAGGGCGGAGACGCGGGAACTCTTTCAGCGTAGGAGCCCTTAGTCGCCTGCGTCCTCTTGGTAGCCAAAGCGGAGAAACCGGGAACTGCTCGCTTTCGTCCGCCATGGGGCTGCCTCGGGTGGAACCGTGCTGGCGAGTTTGGTTTTAGAGTTGAATTTTTGGATTGGGTCAGTTTGGAAAGAGATTTACTGGACTTCTACGCGGCAAGTAGTGGAAGAAGCCTCTTGCACTTGTACTCAGAAGGAAACTTGCTTGTGAAAATCGTGGCGAGCATAATAAATAAAAACTTTTAAAATCCTGTCGTCGTCGCCCCCCCATTAGCATTTAGAGGACGCAGCGTCCAGCTGGCAGCCAGACTCGGGTGCAGCTGGCACCATCGCGATTGCCTGGGGCAGTGGGACGATTTAATGGAGGGTTGTTTTAATGTGTGTGGGGTGTCTTTAAAAAACACACAACACAAATCTATTTGCTGGCCGTCATGAGTGGCTGCGCCTCTCAGGATAAGCAGAGCAAGCTGTTCGTCATGTGTACACACGCTGGCCCGCAGCTGCTGAGGCGGCTTGTGTGGAAAACTGGCGGAGCCAGGCGCGCGCTGCCTCGGGGGAGGAATGGAGGCCCGGTCGGGAAAGGGAGATAAAAAGCTCTCGTCTGGGGGTTAGAAAAAAGAGGGGAATATCCTGGAGGATTTAAGTTACTTGAAAGCAGACCTTTCGCTCCTATTACGGCCGCTGCTAGGCGCAGGTCTCTACGGAAAAGGCGGCTCGATGTGTAGAAGTCGACAAAAGTAAAAACACCCGTGGCACTTTTAAAAGATTCGCCAAATTCATTCCAGCATAAGCTTCCGTGAGTCAGAGCTCGCTCCGTCAGAGGACGCCGCGGGTCTGTGAAAACAGCACCCTCTGTAGCCCGAGAAACAAGTTGTTTGTGGGTGGAAGAGGCGGGCTTTTTGCACCGGGATCCTATTTTTTACTTGAGAGAAAGTCCTTGACCCCGTGAGGACTCCCGAGCTTGAGAGGGCTTGTTGCTCTTGGACACCCCCCCCCCTCCAGCCCTCCGCCCCACGGCGGGACCGATTTCTGTGTCGGATGAGGCTGGCAAAGTGTGGAAATCCCCGACTCCCTTTCCCCAACCTGGGCTGGCTCTGGGTCTCTCTTCCGGTGTCTGAAAGGGAAATCTCGGCGCTAGGGAGGGGAGATCCGAGCCTTTTCTCCACCCCTGGCTAACTTTGCCTCCCCCCCACCCCGTTCGTTTCCCTGTGACATGAGTGTGCGCGGAGGAGGAGGCGGAGGCGGCGGTGGGCGCTTCCCTTCTCCGCCCTCTCCTCCCTGTGTGTCTAGGGCTTTGGAGAGGAGGAGGAAGAGGAAGATGACGAGCCAATGCAATTAGCCTAACAAGGGACGGGTGGCGGCGGCGGCGGTGGCTTTTCCCCGGGCCACTGACATGTCTTCTTCTCTCCCTTCCTCTCTCCGCCGGCGATGAAGGGGGACGCTGCAGAGTTGAGCGGAAAAGTCCGCCGGGATCTTCTTTTCCCCCTCATGGCAGCTTCTTGAAAAGTGGGAGGAATCCCTTTCCCTCCCACCCTGCCTTCCTTCCAAGGACCCCATTGTGGAGACGGGACTTGGCTCGGATTTGTGTACACACTTGGGTGGTTTTTTGTTTTTTTCTCCTTTCCTTTTTCCTCCTGTTCCGAGGAGGTGGATTATCGACACGCGTCTTCTTTTGCTTTTCTCTCGAGAGGTTATTATTTTATTTTTTTTGGAAGGGGGGAAGGGAGCGCATGTGGAAAGCTGGTTTGTGTGCGTGTGTGTGTTTTCCCCCTTCCTCTCCCCTCTTTTGTCCCCTCTCTCGTGTGTGGGTGCGTGCGTGCGTTTTTTGGTGGCTCCCCTCAATGTGGACGACTCCCGCGGATTTGTCCTTCCTTTGTAACCGGGAAATGAAATAATGGCGACCCGTTGGGCAACGGGACCACCCGGGGGAGATGGAGACGCCCGCCCGCCCGAAGGCACCGCGAGCTGCGGCCAGGTAGGCAGAAGAAGCGGGGCGGCGGCGGCGGCGAGGAGGGCCGGGGGAGGGGGGGGCAGGGCGGGTCCTCCCTCTTCCCTTCCTGCCCGCCCCGGAGTTGCCGGGACTTGGACGCTGGATGTCGTTGGCGGCAGCCCGTGGCCCTCCGAGCGGGAGGCGCCGCTTCGGGGTAGGGGGAAGGAGGCGGGAAAAAACAAACACACGCAAAAGTTTGGAGCGGCTCTGTTGGTTCCCCTCCCTGGCTTTCTTCCCGCTCTATCCCGAGCTGGATGAGGCGTGAGAAGAAAGGGCATTCCAGAGTCGCTCGCCTGTATTGATTTGGGGGATGCCGAAGGGGACTTCTGCCCCTCCCCGCTAAATGTTAACAAAGAGAGGAGGAAGAACGGTCTTATCTCCCGGGAATCGTTTAGGTTGGAAGAGGCTGAGCGGCCCCCGGTCTCTTCTCCACACACCCTTTTCCCTTTGTCCCATTGATCTGATGGGGGGAGGGAGGAGAGAAGGCAGCTTCCCCCCCCCCCCCCGTTTTCCCCCCCCCCCCCAACGACACTTTGCCGCCCCCACCCCTGGCGTGTGTGCATTATGGCCCCCGCCTTTTTACAGGCCAAATCCAGTAGCTTCCAGCCTTCCAATCTGTTTTTTGTATATTCTTCCCCCAGCCAGCCAGAGTTCTTGCTGGGAAGTTGCCATGTGAATCTTCAGTTTGGAAAGTTGTGTGTTTTTTGAATGCCTTATGGTGGCACTGCGTGTTCAGACTAATACCCTGGCCTTAGAAAGGCCCCTGTTTCAACCCTTCATCCTAGGCCCCGTATTAATAGTACTAAGAGCATTAAACTTCTGCCAGCATGGTGTGTTTACTCTCCACTAGACATCAAAGGTGACTTCTCTTATTCAGTATTTTTATGAGGGCTTCCGATAGACTGAAGCATGCCGGAATATCATGCTGTGTTAGTGTTTATATGAAGCATATGGTATGTGAAAGTTTTATCTCCTCCGCATGTAATCCTGTGATGTGGAAGTGGCTGTCCTCTCTGTGTGTCATTATCTTGTGCCAAATAAGAAAATACATAATATATAGAAAAATATAATGTAGAATGTGTCTCTGAGAAGTGAACATGGCTCTGAGAAATGGAATGTGACACTTAAAAAAATAGTTTAAGAAGGCAGCCTTTAATCTACCAGTCTGTCCTTGATTTATACCCTGGTGTGTTGATATAACAGTGCCACGTGGTTTTGTGGTATTGTAAGATCATTTCTGTGTTACGTTCTTCTAAATTCTCTGTACAGCTGGGTTAGGTAAGGACAAAGTGTCTTCTGTCTGTTTAGTCCCCAGTAGGAAATCTTGATGAAAATCTGTAATAGGTCTTGATATTCACAGATCTTGATGTTTGTAGTCCTTGCATATGACAAAGAATAAGGATCGCTCCCTCCCTTTTGAAACGTTGATGTTGGGAAGGGAATGAGAGAGTAGAAACATACTATTACTAAGAATTCTCAGTAGTTCTGGAAGCTGTGGGATTCCAGGCACTGAGACTATTCATATAATCCACCTATCATTAGCATGGTAAACCATAATGAATCCCTTGGAGTTGAGGCGCATGAAGTAGGTAAGATGATATTTCACTGGACCAGCTCCTGTTGGAGAGACAGTATACAAGCTTTCAAGTTCATAGATGGTCTTTAAGGTTCTTTCATAGAGTAGTAGTGACTGTCTTTCTATGTCTTGGCAATATGTCTTTTTAATCTGAAAAACTGCATATTATTTCATTGACAGAGTTTTTTTCCTTGTTCTGTGTACTTCATTATCCAGCATCCATAAAACAATACATCTTCCTACTGATATACATCAGAACTGCTCACTTGGTGTATTGCAGATTTGTTTTTAGCATGGCTTTTTTGATTATCAGAACAGTGCTTTTTGTTATTTAGCTTTCTTCCTCGGGAAAACAAGTCTTTATTGTAGACTTCATTGGAGAACTGCTTACATAGTGTATGGTTGGCTTATGCCTTAACATATCTGTTTGACTTGGAAGAGTAGAACTTAATTCAGATGTTGTGCTTCCTGATTGGCAGTCTGTTGGCTTATAGACTCTGTCTTCTCTTGATTGTTCTCCTTACTTTCTTTGATTGCTGGACAGCTAGTAATATATATGAATTGTGTAATCGTAACATATTGCTACCACATTTGGCTCATAAACCAAAAACTGAAACTAAATTAAGAAGTTGGTTTCAATCTTTGGTTTACTGTGGTGGTTCCAGATCTTGTGTGACATTAAGCCATAGATAATGTCAGAAGAAGAATGGAGAATTCACAGTGGCGAAATAGACCTGTGAACCTACTGGGGTGTTTCTGATCACCAAACAAGCATGATATATGAACTTATGTCAGCGCTTATGGTATAATATTTCAACACACATTGTTGTTTTCTGATGTTGCATTCTGGATTAGAGTTCCTTGTTAAATATAATGTGAGAGTGTGCTTGTACATCTTGATTTTCTTTGTTCACTGTAAACCACCCTCACTGAAGTTCTGTCAAAAGTCCCTTCAGGATTTTTCCTGGGATCAATCAGATTCTTACTTTTTTTCCTTCTGTGGGTCACAACAATTGACCAAATGAAAGATTGTGTGGTTATTTGACATCTGGAATCTTCTGCATGTATCAAAGGTAAGAATGATGGGGAGGAAGGCATTAAGTCCTGAGACATTCCTGTGCAAATGGGCGATGTTCCTAACCTTTGATCATGGACATAGAGCTCTATTCTGTTCAATAATTCACAGTACAGCCCTAAACAGAGTTGTATCCTTTTATTTCTGTTGAAGTCAGTGTGTTTTGAAAGGTGTAACACTGCTTAGGATGGCACTGTAAACAGTATACTTTGGGGCAACTGATAAGGCTTCATTTATAAACTCAATTATCTATATATCTAATAGCCAAGGCGCCCTCTGCGTGCGGATATCTAAATCCGCACATCGGGGGCACCTAGGGGGCAAAGAGATTTCCCTACGCATTTGGGGTAATCCCCAGATGTGCAAAAAAATCTGATATCTATAAAAAACTATAGGGGGGATACTTAAATCCCCCCAAAAGTAAAGGAGCGTTCCCTGTGCATGCACAGAGAACGCACTCACCACTAGGAACTGTGGCAGAGCTGTTGCTGCTGTCGTTGTCGGCAGCGCGGATGGGAGAAGCCTTGGGCCAGTGGCTGGGAGCCGCGGCCATTGTTGCTGCTAAAAGCTGCACAGGGCTCACAGCCATTGCTGCTGGTGGCTGCGGTGGTGGGGGAGAAACCTTGGAGGGCCGGTGGCTAGAGCCGTGGCTGTTGCTGCTGTCGGGTGTGGGGGGGAAGCCTGGTGAGCCTGCTGGGCTCTCCTGTGGCCGCTGCTGCTGCCTCCTCTGTGCGGCGCTCCTGCTGCTTCAGCAGGCCAGCCACCCGGGAGCTGTGGGGAATACCCCCTCCCACGAGTATCGCGGGTCCCGCTTCTTGTCTATATTTAAGACAATGGTGTGAGTTGAGAATAGGTTAAGATAGCTGGGATATTAGTTCGTCCAAATTTAGGATTTATTTATATATGCCTCTTAAATATAGTACTGATTAATTTTGAAACTGTTCTTGTAGAGTGGCCGTTTCACTTCTAGGCTCATACACTACTGTTTTGTAAACCTCATTATTTGTTATTGTGCATACTTCTTCAGATCACCATTGGATAGTGTGGAGCTAGTCCATACTTCGTTGGAAAATGCCAATAGAGATAAAGCTCAGTCCAAAAGCTTCTACCTTTGCTGATTATTCAAATCTACTACTTCAGGATTGTTTGCAGTAGTTCTTTCCATGGGGGTGGTATTAGAAATTGCTTTGAGACACATAGTCAGGTGGTGGGACTTGTGCCTTAATGTAGAGGGCTGCTTAATACCCCGTGACTATTTTTGTGGTGCGTCAGATGGCTCTCCTTTTTATGTGGTCAAATCACAAGTTTAGGTTCGTGTTTAAAAATGTATTCTGGAACTAGACACATAGTGACAAATCCAGTTCTTGATTGGAAGTTTAGTGTAACTTATTTGTAAATAAAGACTATAATCCTGTACATGGTTGTTGTTCGGTCGCACAGTCGAGTCCGACTCTTCGCGAACCCATGGACGACATCACGCCAGGCCCTCCTGTCTTCCGTCGTGCTCCAAAGTTTGCTTAATTTCATGTTCGTTGCATCTATGACACTGTCTAACCATCTCATCCTTTGCCGTCCCCTTCTTCTTTGACCTTCTGTCTTTCCCAGCATCAGGGTCTTCTCCAGTGAGTGCTCCCTTCTCCTTTGGTGGCCAAAGTATTTGAGCTTCAGCTTCAATATCTGGCCTTCCAGGGAACAGTCAGGGTTGATGTCGTGGGTATTAGGTCTGCTGAGGCTGACTACTCCTCAGATGAGGAAGAGGCAGGGAGCAGCCCAGCCTCCTCTGGAGTCAGCCCAGAAGAAGAACCCTCAACTATACCTGAGGAGGAAGAGCCCCCAGCAGCTGCACAGGAGGTGCAGCCAGAAGGAGAGGCTGATCCTGAGCCTGGCCCAGCAGCACCCCCAGTTGCAGACACCCCAAGGCTAGACTCCTTGCCTAGTTCTCCTGAGTGCCCCAGACATAGGGCACGCCAGAGGCTGACTATGCAGGAGCAAAGAAGGAGTGCCAGACTCCAGCTCCTGCAGAGGCAGAGGGAAGAGCTGTAAGCCTTTGCAGACTCAACCCCAGGGAAGGAAGGACCTGCTCAAAAGCACTCAGTGCACCTGGTTCAACGTGGCAGCAACTTTGCTCACTCAGACCTGCTCTTGCATGTGTGTAGCAGCTGCTCCTTGTCCTTGCAACCTTGACTTGACCTCCTGGCTCTTTGACTTTTTGCTCTGACTGACCTTGATTCTGGATTGTGTTTACAAGCTTCCAGTGTGTGGTCTCTGTGGCAGCCAACCAAGACAGCACAGTTGATTTCTTTTAGGATTGACTGATTTGATCTCCGTGCAGTC